ATTCCTATTCCTTTAGAGCTGAATGTGCAGTCTAGATCTGAAATAAAATAAATAAATCTTAAAATAAATAAAAGGAAAAAGAGCTTCAAGATTAGAATGACACTTTTAGTGGAAGTTGGAGGATAACGTGTCTTGACAGGAGAAGTCAAACTTGTACAGCTGACAAAAGGAAGGAGCTTGAGGCATGCCAGCTGTTAAATCAGTCAACTTGGTTATCATTATAGCAGGTGAGTTCTCTACAGAAACTCAGTATCATACTTCGAAACATGATGCGGTACATTCAATGGTAGTGACCACGCAGCTTGCGCATTCCAGTGTGACTGCGCTATGGAAGGCACTACAGGCCAGGCAGCTACAGTCTGGTAAGGGGCAGGTCTAAGCCAGCAATTCAATTCACTTGCACAACAGGAAACCTACCGAAAGAAGATGTTATCCCACTAAGGCTTCTGGACTCCTCTTTTAGATGAGCCACAAAAGATTTCACCTGCATTTGGATGAACCATGGATGTGTCTGCAAATCCCTAACAGGATATCCAATAAACGTTCATTAGTGAGGTGGTGGCAATGGGAGGAGAAATTGTACTGCAGCAACACCCTGCTTCACAGAGCATTTGCCAACACCACTCTCAAATATCATTAGGAGCAGCACACGTACCTTGATCCGCTCTTAAAAGAGATTCTCTCTGAGACGCTGAACTGTGCTTAGAGCCTCCAAGAGACTCCTCAGAAAAAAGGAACTAAGGTCACATATATGTCAGAGGTCTGTGCTTCACAAAGCAAGTGGCCTACAGGGCACTAATGATAAATCTTTACCTTTTTTTTTTGTTTTATACAACAAGAGTTATTCCCTAAGTGTTGGTTTCAGAGCTCCCACCCTTCCCACTTAACTCTTCAGAGGTGAGGGAACTCACTAGCTTATGGCTTGACTCTATTTAAATGTTGAGTTTATAATAAGACTTAGCCCTAAAGAATTCCACCCGTAGCTTTTAACTGAAGGAACACAGCTGCAGAAAAAAAAAATACACATCAGTAATGCAGAAAGATAACTGGATATGGCAGTCGTGGGAACACAGCTGCTGGAGAGATAAGGAAAAGGCATGGAGAAAGAAAACCTCAGCAGCAGCCAAGTTTCATTTATTAAGAAAAGGAAAGAAACTAGAGCAATTATATTGTTTACCACTCCTCCCATCCCACATAATTGGGAAAACTGCTTATAAAGGGCATCCTCCTGAAGCGATGAACTTAAATTTTGAGAAGTGAAGAAAATCCAACTTCTAAATAGCATAACTAAAGACAGTCTAGCAGCTGTGGTGCAATCTAAGCTGTTGTCTAGCAAAGATACTTTGCCAAATATGTGTTTGTCTATACAGCTGCATACTCCTGCAGCTTTGGAGACTGATAACAGAGTATGTATGCACACTGCCAGTGGTCTTTGGCATCCCTGCCCCTAAGCACCAGTCTCCCTGAGCTCTACATCACCACTAAGATGATATAGATGATCCTACCTCTAGGATACCTTCCCTTTCTGAGTATAGCAGATATTCCTGTTGTTCCACTTTCATAGCCATTTACAGACCCCTCTCTAATTCATCAGAAAGCTGTGCTAATGACAACCAGTCATGTATTTAGGTCAGGAAACAGTGCTAAGAGCTACATCTGGAATCTTAGTTCTGCATCCCACCACAAGTTGCTCATTACCACAGCCTCTTATTATCTCACTGCATGCTATTCTTAAAGCATCACAGAACACATTATTTTCTCCCTACTACTATACACTAGTTGCTATTTTAGAGGCAGGGACTCTTTCCACCCACTCAACCTCCAAAGTTCTCCTATAGTCCTCAACAGCTGGAGGCATTCACTGGTCTCCAGATCCATTTGATGTTAACTCCAAATTGCTCTAGAAAACAGACTTCTTTAATTTCCTGAAACAGGCCAACTCTGTACAGCTCTATACCAGAGCTTCAGGGAGAGTGGTTAAAGAAACCACAGCGATCAACTCTTCAACTCTGCCTTTGTGTGTCTGTATGTAGCCACTAGCAATGGTCCTGCATTTCTGCAATACTTTCACCTACGAATGTCCAAGGAAGCACGTGTGAGCCAGGGCTTCAGGAGCTGCAGGTCCCTCTGGGAGCTTTCTAACCTTCAGAAAGAAGAATCAGAGGACTTACAGGCATTCTCCTGGAGTTTCTCAGCATGTGACTCCATATCCAGCATTCAACAACTTAACCATTCCAAGTTCATACCATTCTATTTCACGTATTGAAAGAGAAAGTATTAGCTTGACCCACGGAACATTAGATTTTCCAACAAAATATAGCTGGAACCTTAACACCTCCCTGAGAGATGTCTTCACGCAAGTTGCCCAAAAGAAAAGTCAAGTCTTTGGTTTAAATAAAATGGAAGAAGCACTTGTGATCTTGAAGCACAGCTCCTATGCCTCAGTTACATCACAGGATTGTCAGGGTGCTTTGACGAGTGCAGGGGCAGCCAGTTCACCTGATGGTGTACTGTGCACACCTTATGGGTCTCAATAGGTGGGCAGGAGGGCTGCTTTCACACACACACAGACCCTCATCTATTGACCATCAGACCTAGCCAGCAATTACAACTGAAGCAGACAGCCAAAGTTGTAAGTCCCAAAACTATGTGCCACAGTGTTTTTTGCTTTCCTTTTGGTTGGTTGCTTTTAAACCTTTAGCATCTTCCAAGTTTCCTATTACAATGTTACCAGCTGGTAGGAGTTATCTGCAGCCAGGCTGTTTTCTGGCAACCTCTTTTCAAACCTGGCAGAAAATAAAGCTCTCTGTTCACCAATTTCCCTTTCCTCTCATTCCTTTACAAATACAACCAATTAAAAAATTAGAGTATGAGTACTTGCAGAAATTAGTGCAACTGTCAGATAAACAGGGCCATAGAAATACACAGCTCTGCATCCCTCTCCATGTACAAACATCAGTGCCATGCCAGAACCATTACCTGTGAAACTAAGGGCAAACAAAGCTGCGAACTTATTCACCCCCAGATTGCTGTTCACTTATACAGACTCCTCCATGTTATCCCAACTGGGGTAGCAAAAGCCGTCCACACATCACCAGACAAATACCACACCATCTGGCAGGGGAAAGAAGGGAATATGCAGTCCTTACACAATCATATGGGCACAGAACACAATCCCCACACACCCTGTAAGCTGTGAAGAAACAAAGCAGAAGTGACCTGTAAAAGATACTTGCTTTCTTTGGGAGAAGGCGAAGCGCTCCTGAACGCAAACCATTTTGCAAGACAAGCCCAATGCCAAATAAATCATCTCTGGAATTTGGGGATGTGCTGGGAGACAACAGCTAGGCCCACTTCTTCCCTCTCTTCAAGTCTCATTACTACTATCTTGTGTAGCTAATTTGTCCTCTCCTCTTCCTCATCCCAGCCAGCAAAGCCTCCCTGAGCAAGTCCTCAGAGGGTCCCGCTGCCAGGACCACAAGGTGCTGTAGTTACTTTGTGTTTTTTTCTTAGATTAGAAGAATTTTATTTTTCAATAAAGAAAGTAACATTTAAAATATGAAAGTTCCCCCAATATCACCCAGGAAAAAACAACAGTATTTCAAGTTTCCTTGTACCTTCCCACAAAAACCTGAGGTGGGACCAAATTTCTCTGCCTCATTTGTGAGCAGCAGACTGATAATGTTTCTGCCAATATTGCTCTCATCCCTCAAAGAAAAACTGAGCACCAAATGTCAGGCTGAACTGGGGAATCTGCCTTAGGAACAGGTACAGTTCTATTGTTTTTGTACTGGCCAAGCCACTGCTGACAAAAGTACACTGACGGGACACCAAGGGTACACTGGGATCGAAATGACTGACAACCTGGCTCCAAGTTACACAGCCGCCCCTCCCTCCCAATGCCTGTCAAGAGACAGGAGTCAGTCCTACAGGTTCTACCTATCTAAACATGGCTGGGTCCAGAAGACAGCAGTAGCGTGAACTTCAGTCTGGCGCATGAGGAGCTACAGGTTGGCTACCTGAGCCCTGGCAGGCTGAACGGAACAGCGAGGGCACAGAGAAAGTGCAGGGCAAGTGACAAGTATCAGCTCTTCCATCTGATGGCTCTGCTGCCTCTCACATGCCTTCCATTTTCATCTCTCTTTTGGAACCTCACAGAGCTATAGCTGCCTGGGGTTGTCGTGCCTTACACGATGATTTTTTTCCACCTGATATTCACTGGGAAGATCGTAAATACTTTTCCTACAAGTGTTAAACTAGGTACCGTTCTGAGACTGCTAGAAAGGAAGGGAGCCTTCCTCAAGGCCTCTAGGCTTTTGCTGCAGTTTCAGAGCTCCTGCGGGTGGCACTGCAGAACCCCTGGCTCCATTCCTGGCAATCCCATTCCCGGCAATCCCATTCCCCGGTCCATCCTCACAGCAGGCAGCTTCGTGTACAAACTGTTCAACCACACAAACCCTTCTGCCAGTAAGGTAGCCCTTACACACTATTAAATAAAAGTAATTTCCAAGCAGTCAGCAGAGCCAACACTCTCAAAGGCAACATGACAACTAGTCCTAGAAGGACCATACTTCATAAACTATCACTGAGAAATTAAAAGAACTATTGTTTTGGTGTTAAAGAATATTGGTATATACATCCCTGCTCCTTGGTAGCAATTAACTAAACAGAGGTAGGCAGCGTTGCCCCTCTCTTTCCCAGCTCCTTGAAGATCTCACACAGGGACTAATAAAGGAGTTATGTTGGTTCCCATGGCACTAAAACTTCTGCTAAACAAAGCAGTGGAATAAGGATCCCTTTAAGAGATGGTCATGCCTGAATACAACAGGAAGCCCACTGAAAACACAGCTCAGGTTTGCAGAGACCCACAAAATACCAATGCAAAAAGCAGTCCAACTCTTCCACCCCTGCTTTCCGTGAGGGGAGAAAGGGACTTACAGGGCACAACAAGGAAAAGAGTTTTCTTGCAAGCTGGTTGTGCAATTCAGAGCTTCGCCTGCTATATTCAGAACAGCTTTTCTTTAGGGAAAGGGAACCAACACTAACCCTCTCTGAGGCTGGAGATCTCCAAGCCAAAGCTAGCCAGCAGGCAGAGATGATCAGATGAACAAAAAGGATTTGGTAAGCCATTTGCCAGCAACAGGACATCTTCAGAGAGAAGGGAAAGGCGGCCAAGCAGCTTCAGGGCTCCATCCTGGTACAGCCTGCGACCTGACAAAGAAAACGGAAAGAAACATCAGTCAGAGACTGGTGCTGTAGATTAACTCTACACACTCACAAAGGGATGCCTGTCAGTTGTCCTGATTTGGCTGAAACAGAACTATTTCTGCTTTCAGCAGATTTTTTTTCCTTCAGTTAAGTTTTCTTAGTAACTGCAGTTTCTGAAAGTTGACTACAGGTTTCAGGCAGTGCCTGCTTTCAGAGCTGATGGCAGTTAATGTCTGTAGTTGTTGCTGGGGCAGGAGCTGGACTGTTACGCAGAAAAGGCCCATAGATGGGTGCTTGTTCCCTGCGGGCTCTCTTGGGCTCCGCTGGGCTCCTCATGGGGGGAAGGCAGAGGAGTGGTCTCACCCCCAGGAAGCTGCAGAGGGCACAGGTGACCCAGGCCTGATCAATGCACTATTCCATCCCACCCACGGGAATACTCGGTATAAAGTCCAGCGATCACGGGGATC